AGCACATTAACCCACAGCGCCATACCAGGACTCCGGAGAGGCTGGTGGTGACTGTTGTTGTTATGTGCCGTGGAGTCGGTTCCAACTCATAGCGACCCTGTACAGGGTTTCCGAGGCTGTAAATAAATCATTACGGGAGCAGAAAGAAAGCCTCATCTTTCTCCCGCGGAACAGCTGGTAGTTTCGAACTGCTGACCTTGCGGTTCACAGCCCGATTTGTAACCACTACACTACCAGAGCTCGTTTATTGATGGCCTCATTATCTGACATTCTACATTTCAGATAGTAAAACCTGTTGTTAGGTGCTATCTCGTTGATTCTGACTCACAGTGACCCTGTGCACGACAGAATGAAACACTGTGAAGTCCTGCTTCACCCTCCCAGTTGTTAACGTTCTAACCCATTGTTGCTGCCACTGTGTCAGTCCAACTCACTAAGGATTGTCTTCTTCGCTGATCCTCCGCTTTACTAAGCATTTTGTCCTTCTTGACAATGTGTCTAAAGTATGAGAGACGAAGTCTCACCATCCTGGTTTCTAAGGAGCATTCTGGCTGTACTTGTTCCAACACAGATTTGTTTGTTCTTCTGACAGTCCATGGTACTTCGAATATTCTTCACCAACACCGTAATTCAAATACATCAATTCTTCTCCAGTCTTCTTATACACTGTCCAGCTTTCACATGCATATGAAGTCATTGAAAATACCATGGCTTGGGTCAGGCGCACCTTAGTCCTCAAACTGACATCTTTGCTCTTCAATCTTTCAAGACGTCTTTTTGCAGCAGATTTGCCCAGTGCAGTGTATTGTGTGATTTCATGACTGCTGCATTCATGAGTGTTGATTGTGGATCCAAGGAAAATGAAATCTGTGATAACGTCAGTCTTTTCTCTGTTTATCATGAGGTTATTTATTGATCCAGTTGTGAAGATTTTTTTTTTTGTTTTCTTTACATTAAGGTACAATCCATACTGAAAGCCTTTAATCTTCATCAGTAAGTATTTCAAGTCCTCTTCACTTTCAGCAAGCAAGATTGTGTCATCTGCATATTGCAGGTTGTTAATTGCAGTAAAACTGTCTTACTATTTTGCACATAAATGAAGTATGTCTGGCAATAATGTCAAGGTGCAAGGCAAGAGTAATGCTTGCTGTGATAGTTAAGGTTATGTGTCATGAATTGGCTGGGCTGGGTTTCTCAATGGTTTAGCAGTTATATAACGATGTAACTTGCCAGTTATGTAATGATAAGAGTCATCTTCCATTCTGTGATCTGATTTGGTCATCCTTAAATTTTCACATAATGCCAGTTTTTGCATAATGACCTGGTCTTTGGAACGATGCTGGTAAGTGTGCAGTGCGTTTGTGTATGCGACTGTGTGGTGAGATTGTTGACCAAATGAAACAGGACAAGCTGTTATGATAGTATATGTGACACTGCTAGTGGGAGACTAATAAGACTGAGTCACTGACAGAGAAAATAACTCCCTGAGAGAGTGTTTAAGAACACTGATGTATGTATGCGCACCTGTTTGTGAGAGACTATAGTAGAGGCTGTGAACTCAGAATTAGGTTTGTGTAGATAAAAAAGTGTGGGAGAAAATGACAGACTGAATGAGACAGTGTATCAGAGAGAACACCAGTTGACTGTCACACCTAATAAAGACTCTTCTTCTGTTTGTCCTCTTCCTTTTGTGACCTCTCCTCCTCAGGTCCTAGGCTAGTTTCATCTAGTTCTTCAAAACCTAAATAATGGACTTCCCCAGCACTTTGCCTCAGGCTCCCTTCCCTTTTCTCATCATATGTCCTTTCCAAGTGACCCCACCCAGTTCCTGAACTTGAAATACTACTTATTCCCGGATGATGCCCCAATTTTTTTTTTTTTTTTTTTACCTCTGCCCTGGACTGTTACCACATACCAGAATGTCTAAAGTTATATTTGTTTATTCAGAAGACATTTGTTGAGCGCCTACTGTGTATGCTGGTGCTAATCTAGGCCCTGCATACAGCGGTTAACAAACCAGCTTAAAAAAGAAAAAGAAAAAAAGGCCCTGCCCTTGCAGAACTGATAACTTTAGTGAGCAAGACGGCCAGGAAACAAATATGTAATATTAGGTGGTGATGCAATAGTTGGGCATACCTTACGTGCAAAAGGACTCGGCTATTTAACCAAAAGATTGGCGGTGCAAGTTCATCCAGAGGTTCCTTGGAAGAAAGACTGAGCAGTCTATTTCGAAGTAATCTGAAAACCCTGTGGACTCACCATGAGTTGGACTCAACTTGACAGCAACTGGTTTGATTTATTAAAGCAGTAGTTAAATGAGACAAAACTTACTCTTTGTGGAAATAAGGAATCTGCAGTCATTTTATCACCTAAACATCTGTGGGAAAAGATGAAAGTGCTAGCAGTCCTCTTCCGCATGGAAGCCTATGAGTATTTATGCAGATTAGGAACACCCATATGGCAAGTCAAGTCCACTGCCACCAAGTGGATTCCAATTCACAGTGACCCTATAGGACACAGCAGAACTCCTCCTTAGGGTTTTCCGAGACTAAATCTTTACGGAAGTTGGCACCCTCAATTTCCTCCCACAGAGTGACTGGTGGTTTTAAACCTCTGACTTTGTGGTTAACAGCCCAGTGCTTTTAGCTCCCGAGTGCAGTTTAGGAATAAGAATCAATTTTAACATTAGCAAGGCAACAGCTGATCAAATAAAGCAGCCATCCAGAATTGGGAAGCTGTTTTCCCAGGATAATACAGTACAGATGTCTGAAGTCTCAGAACCTTAACAAGACCCCTTTATTCTTTGAGAAGGGGTGTAAGAGATGGAGATTGTGTACATGCGTATGAGAGAGAAACACTTTCAAAGACAGGCATGTATTAGAGAACAGAGCACATCTATAACGGATATAAATATGAACACATACTTTATTGCCTGTAATAAGACTGATACTCTTAAGAAAATTCTCACCAAATCTGATTGTTTTATCTAGTTTCAATTTGCAGAAGGGTATTTCTCCTTCCATGAATGAAGGGGAAATGAGACATTGCCTTCACATCTTTCTTAGCTTCCTTTTTGTTAATTAAAAAGATTCCTGGTTTTTAAGTGAGCACTAGTGTATCACTCATTTTAAAAACAAACCTGTTTCATGAAGTTGACTCTGCATCACTGTGATCTCTACAGGACAGAGTAGAAGTGCCCCATAGGGTTTCCAAGGCTGTGCTTTTTATGGAAACCCACACACCAACTGGTGGGTTTGAACTGCCAACCTTTTAGTTAGCAGCTGAGTGCTTTACCCATTGAGTCACCCGGACTCCCCTTTTGCTATTAAGGTTTGTAAAAAAAAAAAAAAAAAAAAATAGCAAGTCTGTTATGTGCCATGGAGTCAGTGCCACCTCATAGGGTTTCCAAGGAGCACCTGGTGGGTTTGAACTGCTGACCTTGTGGTTTGCAGTACAGTGTTGATCCTACAGGTTCACACCAGAAGGCAGCAACCTGCATGTAAAATGGACTAAAGAGAAATTCATTGCTGACAGTAAAATAAGAACTATCCAGTAGTGGTTTTCTAAAATGAGACAAAAAGAAGACTCAGGGACTATAGCAGTGATTTTCAAAGTGTGGTCCCCAGACCAGCAACATCACAAATGCAAAGTCTTGAGCCCCACTCAAGATTCAGAGCTAATGAATCAGAACCGGGTGAGGCACCTGGGTCATCTGAGGTTCAACAAGCCCTGCAGGTGAGTCTGATGCACACTGAAGTTTAAGAGCCAGACTTGGAGAGAGTGACCAAGCCACTGAGTCAGTTCTGACTTTTCGCGACCCTCCACAGGGTTTCCAAGACTGCCCATAATTACTGAAGCAGATAGCCTCATCCTTCTCACTCGGAGTGACTGGGGTTTGAGCCAGTGAACTCGCACTTAACCCATAGTGTCACTAAGGCTCCTTTAGAGAGTTGACAGTACCATATTAGAAAGGTAGTTGAGGAAGACAACATTATTATGTTTCCTTTCGTAGAATGTTAAATTCTTCGAAAACCAGGAGTTTTGTCACTGGTTCTCTGTCTGAAGCCTAAAATAGCATCTGGTACCCAATAGGTGCCCAATAAATGCCTGTTGAATAAATTTAACAAACACTGCTCTAAGCACTTTAAAAAGTCTTGAATCCCCAACCATTGCAGCAGATCCTGTGATGTAGGCGCTGTTCATGTGCACATGTTACAGAGGACACTGAAGCTCTTAAGAGAGGAGTGTTACCTGCCCAACAATACTCTGCTGGAACATGGCAGAACTGATTCCTAACTACCCTCTTCCCCAGGCCCTGAAGGTGACCCCAACTGGGCCCCTGATGCAGTAGTTATAGCCCCATTTACTTTTTCTGAATCCCTCTCCCCACAGTCCTGTTACTTCCCTTTCTTACTTCCCTTGTGTTGACTTTCCCCACCACAACTATTGCATCAGGAAGTAGGAGGGCAGAGGTTAAGACAGGGTGGAGAATGAAGCAATTACCACCATACCCCCTCCACTCCTGGAGGAGTACTTCACCCTTGTTTGCACCAGGCCACGAGATTGACCCTGTAATTGTGGTAGAATTTACACATTTTGCAAATAGGAAAACAGAGTCAGAGAGGTTTACGTGATTTGCCCAAGGTCATACAGCTAGGAAGTTTGTCTTGCTCCAAATTCCTATGCTCCATTTCTCCTGTGTTAAGAATGTATCCAAGGAGCATTAATTGAGCACTGAAGCGTTGCTAGATAGAAGGTGAGATGCTAGGGAAACAGTGACAACCAAAGCAAGACTGAGAATGATCTAGGAAATAGGGATAGAGAATAGAGGAGAAAAGATGAGGGAGAGGTCAGAGCTGCACAACACTCTACCCTACCCCCTCCTCCCCTTTGCCCTCCCAGTTCCTCCAGCAGCCTGGTTCCCCTTCCCCTGCTGACTACAGGAGAGAGACCAACCCAGATAAAGGCAGCTCTCCTCTGGCGGTGGTACAGTGCTCAGTATGACCGTTCAAGCTCAGGCCTCTGGGGTGCTGCTGCCACTGCTACTACTCACCTGGCCAGCCACAGGTAAGTGGGTGAGAGCTGAGCTGGTCCCCAGGGTTGCCTGGAGCCACCACACCCCTGAGCATGCTCCACCCCCTGGCCCTGTCACAGGTGCAGACCCTGTACTCTGCTTCACCCAATATGAGGAATCCTCAGGCAAGTGCAAGGACCTTCTGGGCGGAGGAGTCAGTGCAGACGACTGCTGTCTCAACTCTGCCTATGCTTTCCAGGAGCCGGGCAGTGGGATCTGTCAGATATGCAGGTTAGCAGGGACCGGGGCCAAGGGAAGTGCTGGCGGCAGAAAGATGGACCATGCTCTTCTCTGCAAATTTCAAGGATCACGCTGAAGCTCTGATGGTGATCATAGCTCAGGGTTTCTCAACCTTGGCATTATTGACATTTTGGGTCAGAAAATTCTTTTTTTTTTTTTTTTCGGGGGGGGGTGTCAGAAAATTCTTGGCTTTAGAAGTTGTCCTGTTGTGTACTGTGGAACAATGAAGGATTATTATTATTATTAATTTTTTTTTAAGGAGAACCACAAGGCACTTTTATTTATTTTCTCATGTCAGTTCTATCCCAAAGCAGGTGTTTGGATCAAGTTAGTAGTTCTCATTCCCCCACTCCCTTTGGCAGTATGAGTAATGAATCAGTTTCCCAGAGGAAATCTTACACAAAGCTCAATTTCTAGCACAGAGAAGCACCTCTCAGGGCAGAGAGTGGCCCAAGCTTATCTATCCTCCACTTGGAATGAAATTTCATGTGTTGGCGTTTCGACTCCTGGTGACCCTGTGTGTGCAGAGTAGAACTGTACTCAGTAGGGCTTTCAAATCTGTGACCTTTCAGAAGCAGATGGTCTTCTGAGTGTTCCTAAGGAGTACATGAGTTAAAGTCAGCAGAGACTTTAGATACACAACCCTATAATAACAGTGATACATGAGTACATGCATGGGTAGACATGCAGGCTGAATGAGGATGGGAGGGAGTATACCCACGAATATATGTAGATTTGGCAGAACTGACTCCCCGCTCTTAACAATATACAGAGAGAGAGCAATTCTGGCCTCTGTCCACTAGATGTCGGTAACTACTCCTGCCCGGAAGTTATGAAAACCCGAACTGTTTCCAGACATTTCTGAATACCCCTTGGGGGATAAAATCCCTTACCATAAATCACATATATTGAGTGCTTCCTACATCCTGAAAGCATTGCAGGGTGGATTACAGCTCTAGTCCCCTAATTGTGACAACAGTCCTTATTTGAGGGCTTACTGTATATGGACATATTGGGGTTGGTGGTTGAGAGTTTGAAGAATTCTGAGGATAGCTAAGGCTCTTAATTTTGATAATACTTCATATTTTTTAGTGTTTCCTGTGTACCAAATGCATTGCAAGGGTGTGGAGGCAGCTTGAGGATTTCTGAGGGTAGCTCCAGTCTCCTAATCATGATGCTAGCTTACATTTACATTGAGCCCTTACTATGGGTTAATGCGCCAGACTGCAAAGCCATTTGAACTTCAAGGTCGGCGGTTCAAACTCACCAGCTGCTCCTTGGAAACCCTACACAGGGTCGCTATGGGTTGGAATCTACTCGACGGCACTCAACAACAACAACAACAACTGTATGCCAGATATGTTTTCTAATACTTGCTTTATATCCAGATACTTAGGGAACTTGGGAATTTTTGAGGACACCTAGATGTGGGTTAATGTGCTGGATGGACTGCAAGGTTGGTTTGAACTGCAAGGTCAGTGGTTCAAGTTCACTAGCTGCTTCTCAGAAACCCTATACGGGGTCGCTATACTCGACGGTACTTAACAACAACAACAGTTCACATCTATAAGGGTGAGTCAAAAAGCATGGCTGCTAGGTTTCTAGTTTATACATGCACAGGGTTATTTCAAACGTGTTTAATCGTGTGTCTGTGATCAGTGGATGAGTACAGATACGTTCTTTCAGTAATATACTTTAAAAACAAAACGAAACAGACCTGAGACTATGGCCCTCCACCACCCTTCAGGTCTGGAAAGGAACTCACCCTCCTGGCCCAATTTTCAGCCAAGCAGTAGATCCGTATATGGTGAGGGGTGAGGGTGGGGTGGGGGATGACGACAACATTAGTAAGGTCTGCTCATCATGAAATAGTCAATCATTCAAAATCAAAAGGGCAACATTGAGGAGGGATAGGAAGGTAGGTGGAATGCAAATAGGAAGCACAGGGAGGGAGTGGTATAACTGTTGTTGCAGGGAGGGGATGGCGGTCATTGAGATGAAACAAAGTGTAGGATTTGTTCAATGTCAAACTGATGTTCTTGTCTGTGAACCTTCACTCAATTTCTAATCAAAAGTTTCAAAACAAAACAGTCACTTCCAAGGGGATCTGCTAGGCCAGTTAAATGAAAGGCAGAGAGGTCAGCTCAGAAGGTTATGGCGACTGTATTTTGGGATTCCAAGGGGTCATCTTTTTTTTTTTTTAATCTCGAAAATTTATTTAAAAAACAACAACACACACTTCAACACTTTAACAAGTAAAAGACAAACCAATTTAAAAATGGGCAGAGGACATAAAAAGACACTTTACAAATGGAAACATTTAAGTGGCCAACAAGCAAATGAAGAAATACTTAGAATCATTAGCAATGAGAAAGATGCAAACCAAAACAAAGATCATCGCACCCCAGCATTGATAGTAAAATTCAGAAAACAACAAATCTTGGGGAGGGTGTAGAGAAATTGGGACACTCCTATATTGCTGGTGGGACTGTAAAATGGTTCAACTTCTGTGGAAAACTGCATGGTCCTTCCTCAGAAAGTTGGAACTAGAAATACCATATGATCCAGCAATACCTCCACTAGGTACAGATTCTAAAACCATGACATAATAAATTAGTGCACAGTCATATGTTACATGACATCACTTCACAGTAGGAAAAATATGGAAACAACCTAAATGTCCATCCCACATAATGGGATGCCATTCAACATTAAAAAATAACACTGAATTTGAAAAACACCTCAGAACATGGATGAATCTAGAGGACCTTATGCTAAGTGAAATTATTCAGTCACAAAAGGACAAATATTGTATGACACCACTATAATAAAATATTAAGAAAAGGCTTTCACACAAAAAGAAACATTCTTTGATGGGTATCAGGGTGGGAAGGAAAGACAGGGTAGAGAATAGACTCATATTAATTTGGTTGAAGGGCAGGGCAATAGAGCAGACATTAGCAGAAGTGATCAAGGCAAAGGAAGACGCTGGGATGAGTATATGCATAAGTGTGCAATAACAGTAACAACAATAATCCGTGACTGCATACATAGACATGTAAGCTAAACAAGTTTGGAAAGGGAAATGGGATTATACCCATAAATGTATATAGTTTTGACAGAGTATATTTCTATATATGTATTTACTTACAACAAGTCCAGGTAGTGTTAATGGGTCAGAACTGACTTGACGACACTTAACATCAACTTGTCTTACAAAGATTGTCTTACAAAGACAACAACAACTTGTCTTACAAAGATTGGTGGAACCTCTGAGACTGTGACCCTAAGTCATCTTTCAGGTCTGGTCCCCAAGGGGTCATCTTGATAGAGTTTTTTCAAAGGACACAGGACAATCACAGGGGTTTATTAGGAAGGAGTTTTATGTAAATTGTCTTCGTGAAAAAGGTTCAGGAAAGTTGTGCCAGGAATTTTTTTCCCATCATGGCAAAGCACCTTCGAATTCTTTTGACGGTGGCAAGGCTGTCCTCTAAGAATTTTGTTGGGAAACCTTACCCCATCCACCCTATACCTCTGATCTTGCCCCTTCAATCTTCTCTTTGTTTCCCAAACTCAAAAAACATTGAAAAGGAATGTTATCTGAATCTCTCATGGATGTCCAAACTGCCATTTTGATATGGTGTAAATCAAAGAGTGCAGAATTCTTGGGGAAGGGGATAGAGAGATGGAAGCACTACTTTCAGAAGTGTGTGGATGTAGATGGGGGATATGTCAAGAAACAACAGCTTCACATTTTGATATTTTTGTTTAATAAAGGTTTCTGTGATTTTATAGCAATACTTTGTGACATGTTTAACATATTAACATTATGCAGTCCTCTACATGTGTAGTTGGGGATAGATCTGGGGGTATTTATATGGAGGACTCTGAGTTTCTAATCAGAACAAGGGCTCTTATTGATTAAACATTTAATATTTGCCTGCCACCATGCAGGCTTGGTGATCTAGTAGTTTTCTGACTGTAGTTCTAGGCCCCTAGTCCTAACGTTTGCTTACTGGATGCCTGTCACTGCCCTTAAGGACTTCCAAGAGTTGCATCTAGGTCCCTAATTATGAAGCTAAACGGCATTTGTTATGCACTTACTGTATGCCCATCTGTTCTTATACAAGCCATTTCACACATGTGACTACCCACAGGCTGCATGTACTATTCTTGTCACCTTCACGCACCAGGACAGCACGTGTGTGCTCCTTTCCATAGGTTCGCACGATGGTCATCTTGGTCCATGTGGGGCCCCTGTTCGATGACATGCTCCGAGGGTTCCCAGCTGCGGTACCGACGCTGCATAGGTCGGGGCAGGCAGTGTTTGGGGAAGGTGGAGCCTGGGGCACTTGAATGGCAACTGCAGGCTTGTGAGAACCAGCCATGCTGTCCTGGTGAGTAGGATCACCAAGGTGGGTGAGCGGTCCTTGTTACCTGGCCCAGGGAAGAGTGTGGAATCCTGAGTGTGTGATCATGTATAATGTTTATGAGGAACAGTAAGGAGGAGGACATTGTGGAACAGAGTGGGTGATAGGTGAGGTCTGAGAGATGATAGGGGCCTGGTCACGTAGGGCCTCAGAGCCATGGTGAGGACTTTGGCTTTTACTCTGAGTGACTGGGATTGTGGGCAGAGGAGAGACATGATCTGATTTGGGTTATGACAGGATCTCTCTCACTTTTGTGAAGGGGACAGACTGTAGGAAACAGAAGGCCCAGTGCAAAGGCTACTACAATAGTCTAACAATGATGGTGGACCAGGTGTGGAGGCAGAGGCTACGGGGATGAGATTCACTATAGACAAAATGCACGCTACATGATGAAGCAAGGAACCCCGAATAACTCTACTACTTTCACCCTGACTTCCTCCCTTTCACCCACAGAAATGGGTGGCTGGTCTAACTGGGGGCCCTGGGGGCCCTGCTCTGTCACCTGCTCCAAAGGGACCCGGACCCGCCAGCGAGCCTGTGACAACCCTGCCCCCAAGTGTGGGGGCAACTGTCCAGGAGAAGCACATGAATCAGAGGTCTGCGACACCCAGCTCGCCTGCCCCAGTAAGTAAGGGCAGCCCCAGGGCATTGATGGGCTTCCCAGTGTAGGCCGTTGAGGTTATAGCAGGAAACGTCAGAGTGGGAGGATGTCAGCATGCATGCCCACACTTGAAATCTCTCTCCCCTACCCATCACAGTACATGGGGCCTGGGGCTCCTGGGGCCCCTGGGGTCCCTGCTCAGGCTCCTGCCATGGTGGACCTCATGCGCCAATGGAGAGACGAAGTCGTACCTGTTCCTCACCTAAGCCCTCCACGAAGCCTCCTGGGAAGTTCTGCCCAGGGTCAGAATATGAGCAACGAGGCTGTAGCTCCCTGCCACCCTGTCCAGGTATGCAGAGATGAGAGGCCTTTGCCATTGCCAATGGGTCTCTTGATTCAGGGCAGAAATGCTCTTGTCATCTCAGAGGATAATAATACCAGATGATGTGACCATGGGCTCTTCATTTAGAGGCGCTCATGCCTTGAGAGTCTAGGGACTGGGGAGTCCGGGTCGGAGTGGGAGGTTGGTGGCAGTTTGAGGTGCCCTTTCTCCTCATTCTCTTTTCTCCACAACAGTGGCTGGGGGCTGGGGGCCATGGGGCTCTGTCAGCCCCTGCCCTGTGTCCTGCGGCCTGGGCAGGACCATGGAAAGGCGGACATGTGACCACCCCCTGCCCCAGCATGGAGGTTCCTTCTGTGTTGGTGACTCCACCCGGACTCACGTCTGCAACATGGTTGTGCCCTGCCCTGGTCAGCACCTCATTTCCATGCTTAACCCTACCTGCCCATCTCTGTTGCCTGGGTCCTGCTGCTGGTGCCTTTTTCCAGTCTCTAATTCCTCCATGTCTGGCCTTGTCACTTTGGTTCCACCTCTCATCATCCCCTATTCCCACATCTCACTGTCCTTCCTGTCCGCCCCTAGCCCTCATTCATTCCTCTGAAGCTTTGATCTGAGTCCCTGTTGCCCCTTCTCGGTAGTGAATGGAGAATGGGATCCCTGGGGAGAGTGGAGCACTTGCTCCCGCCGGAACCTGAAAAGTATCAGCTGCGAGCAAATCCCAGGGCAACAGACACGCTCGAGGGACTGCAAGGGCCGGAAGTTCGATGGACAGCGATGTGCCGGGAACCAACAGGACATCCGGCACTGCTACAATGTCCATCACTGCAGCTGTGAGTGCCTTCACACACTATGCTCTGAGGGCAGGGCAGCCCATACGGGGACCAGGGTTCTCTGGATCTCTGCCCTGGACCCCATGCCTCTGCTGCCTCTCTCACCACTGAAACCTCCAACTTTGACTCTGTGACCCTCTCCCCTCATTGCAGGGAAAGGCACTTGGTCAGAGTGGAATACCTGGAGCCTTTGCACCCCTCCTTGCGGACCCAATCCTACCCGTGTCCGCCAGCGCCTCTGCACATCTCCATACCCCAAGTTCGCGTGAGTTGGGGCACAGTGAGCCTAGAAAGGGGTTGTGACATGTCAGCAACTAGGGTAGGGTTATTACCTGCCCCCAACCAGGGCTTACACCACTAGGGTTTAAGGTACCTGTCTTGGCGAGTGCCATCTCCCAGCTGCAGGAAGAGGGCAGGAAAAAAAAAAAAAGAGAGAGAGAGAGAATAAAAGATACTGAGGGCCCGAAAGTGAAGAAGGAAGCCCCTGCCCTTCCCAAAGCTGAAGCCAAAGCAAAGGCATTGAAGGCCAAGAAGGCAGTGCTGAAAGGCGTCCACAGCCACAAGAAAGAGAGGATCCGCACGTCACCCACCTTCCATTGGCCCAAGACTCTGTGGCTCTTGAGGCAGCTCAAATATCCTCAGAAAAGCACCCCCAGGAGAAACAAGCTTGACCACCATGCCATCATCAAGTTCCCTCTGACTACTGAGTCAGCCATGAGGAAGATTGAAGATAATAACACACTTGTGTTCATTATGGATGTCAAGGCCAACAAGCACCAGATCAAACAGGCTGTGAAGAAGCTGCATGACATTGACGTAGCCAAGGTCAACACCTTCATCAGGCCTGATGGAGAAAAGAGGGCATATGTTCCACTGGCTCCTGACTATGATGTTGTCAACAAAATTGGGATCATCTAAACTGAGTCTTCTGGTGTGGCGCTGTGGGTTAACACGCTGGACTGCAAAGTCAGTTTGAACCACAACGTTGGCGGTTCAAGCTCACCAGTTGCTCCTTGGAAACCCTATACAAGGTCGTTATGGGTTGGAACTGACTCCATGGCACATAACAACAACAACAACAACAAACTGAGTCCAGCTGGCTAATTCTAAATATAAATTTTTTCAATACATTAAAAAAAAAGATACTGGGAAAGAGAGTGGTTTCTATACCCCTCAGTCCTGGAAACCTTATACACGGTTGGAACTGACTCAACAGCACTCAGCAACAACACTTACTTAACAACAAAGTGCACCTCGGTCACTCAGTGAGTCACTCGGCCATTCTACTATTCACTGAATCCTTCATGTGTACGTTACCTCTCCGTTCTCTGTTAGCCAGGCTGTGATTTACTTATTCACTCACTTACACCTCACTCCAAGGCCTGTTAGGCAACAATTGGTAGGCACCCAGATCCTGTGGACCCACCAAGGGATCCCAGGTGAATAGATAGTGTCCTGGCAGATGGCATATGAAGGGCTGTTAATGCATGGTAAAGGGACTGTCACCTCAACCTGGGTCCAGAAATCTGATCAAGCCTCCGCCAGCAGAAAGGAATCAGAAAAGGCAGTTCGAGCATCAAGACTGTGTGAGTATCGTCCTGGACACAGGTGATCAGCCACTGGAAGTGTTCCCCCTGTGACTAGAGTGGCCCAGGTGTTGACGAAGGTCAGAGCACTCATTCATTCATCTTGTCCTTATTTTTGCATACATCAAGCTACTAGATGAAGTAGACTGTCCCTCACTTATGGAAAGCCTGCCATCTGGAGAGTGTTTACCAGCTGTGGGGCTTAGTGTGTCCTGAAGATGAGTTAGGGGTGTTGAACGGAGACATGAAGGATTTGACTGTGTGGGCGAATGAATGGAGGAATGAGAGTGGCAATGAATGGAGGGTCTGCAAAGGGGGAGAAATAGCTCAGGCAGAGACAATTCTGGATACGGGACTGGGACTTGGTCTGGGTAAAGTAGAGGAAAGGTAGAGATCAGGGTTGGGGCAGATCTTTGGGTCCAACAAAAGACCTGGAATCTTAGGACAAGGCATTTGGGTGTTTTCCAGTGGGCATTAGGGAGAGATTGCTCAGCATACAGGTTGAATAAGTATGGTGAAAGAATACAACCTTGTCGCACACCTGTCTTACTTTTAAACCATTCAGTGTTCCCATGTTCTGTTCAAACAAATGCCTCTTGGTCCAGGTACAGATTCCTCATGAGCACAATTAAATGTTCGGGAATACTCATACTTCGTAATGCTGTCCATAGCTTGTCATGATTCACACAATCGAAAGTCAATAAAGCACAGGTAAACATCTTTCTGATATTCTCTGCTTTCAGCCAAGATCCATCCGACATCAGCAATGATAACCCTAGTTCCACAGCCTCTTCTGAATCAGGCTTGAACCTCTGGAAGTTCTCTGTCAGTGTATGCTTGCAGCCGTTTCTGTATTACCTTTAGTAAAACTTTACTCGCATGGGATATCAAAGATACTGTCCGATGATTTCCGCATTGCTTTGGGTCACCTCTCTTTGGAATGGGCACAAATATGGATCTCTTCCAATCAGTCGGCCAGATAGTTATCTTCCAATTTTCTTGATAGAGATGAGTGAGTGCCTCCTGTGCCGCCTCACTTTCTTGAAAGAATTCAATTTTTATTCCATCAATTCCTAGTGCCTTGTTCTTTGCCAATTCCTTTAATGCACCTTGGACTTCCTCCTTCAGTATCATTGGCTCTGGATCATATGATACCTCTTGAAATGGCTGAACATTAACCATTTCCTTTTGGTACATTGACTCTGTCTATTCCTTCTATCTTCTCTTGGTTCCTTCTGCATCATTCAATAATTTGCCCAGAAAACCCTTCAATAACGAAAGTCGAGACTTGAATTTTTTCTTCAGTTCCCCAAGATTGAGAAACGCTGAGCGTGTTCTTCCTTTTTGGTTTTCTGACTCCAGGTCTTTGCACATTTTGTTATAATAATTGGCTTTATCTTTTCGAGCTGATCTTTGAAATTTTCTGTTCAGCTCTTGTACCTCTTCATTTCTTCCATTTGCTTTAGCATCTCTATGCTGGAAACCAAGCTTCAGTGTCTCTTCTGACATCCATTTTGACCTTTTCCTTCTTTCTTGTCTTCTTAATGAGTTTTTGCTTTCTTCCTGTGTGATGTTCTTGATGTCATCCCACAACTCCTCTGGTCTTCGGTCTTTAGTGTTTAATGTATCAAATCTGTTCATCAGATGATCTCTCAATTCAGGTGGGATATTTTGGCTCTAGCGAACTTGTTTTCATTTTCTTCCGCTTCAGCTTGAATTTGCATATGAGTGATTGATGGTCTGTTCCACAGTCTGCCCCTGGCCTTGTTTTCACTGATGATATGGAGCTTTTCCATCATCTCTTTCCACAGATGTAGTCAATTTGATTTCTATGTATTCCATCTGAGCAAATAATCCGAGAAGCTGGGTTATATGAAGAAAAATGTGGCATCAGCATTGGAGGAAGACTCATTAACAACCTGCAATATGCAGATGATACAACCTTGCTTGCTGAAAGTGAAGAGGACTTAAAACATTTACTGAAGAAGATCAAAGAGCACAGCCTTCCGTATGGATTACATCTCAATGTAAAGAAAACACAAATCCTCACCACTGGACTAATAAACAACTTTCTTATCAATGGAGAAAAGATTGAAGTTGTCAAAGACTTCATTCTTCTTGGATCAACTATCAACACTCACGGAAGCAGCAGTCAAAAAATTGAATGACGTACTGCATTAGGTAAATCTGCTGCACAAGAACTTTTTAAAGTGTTGAAGAGCAAAGATGTCATCTTGAGGACTAAGGTGCGCCTGACCCAAGCCATGGTATTTTCAATAACCTCATATGCATGCAAAAACTGGACAATGAATAAGGAAAACCATAGAAGAATTGAAGACTTTAAGTTATGATGTTGGAGGAGAATATTGAAAGTGCCATGGGCTGCCAAAAGGACCAATAGATCCATTTTGGAAGAAGTGCAGCCAGAGTGCTTCTTGGAGGCCAAGATGGCCAAACTTCGTCTCTCATACTTCGGACATATTGTCAGGAGGGACCAGTCATTGGAGAAGGATATCATGTTTGGTAAGGTGGAGGGTCAGAGAAAAAGAGGAAGACCCCAAAGAGATGGATTGGCCAAGTGGCAGCATCGATGGACTCAAGTGTGGCAACAGTAGTGAGTTTGTCCCAGGATTCGTTCTGCTGTGCATAAGGTTGATACCGACTTGATGGCCCCTAACAACAACAGTAGGGAGAGAGAGAAAGGGTTTGGGAGGTAAGAAAGGGTCTCTCATGTCAGCAAGTAACAATTACCAGCATTTATTGAACTCTTAACTGTGTACCAACCACTGCTCTGAACACTTTACCCAGCCTAGTGAGGTGGGTGGTGGTGGTGGTATTTCCGTTTTGCAGATGAGGGAAACTGAAGCGCAGGAAGGATAAATCATCTAGTGTCTCACGACTAAACAGTAGCATTGAGCACCCTACTCACTAAGAGCTTGTTGAATGCACTCCTGCCTTCTGTGAGCTTCTCCCATCTGTTCCCCTCCCCCAATGTCCCAGGCCCACCATTTCCACCGTGGAAGGTCAGGAAGAGAAGAACGTGACCTTCTGGGGACAGATGCGGCCAAAGTGCGAGGAGCTACAGGGGGAGAAGTTGGTGGTGGAGGAGAAGCGGCCATGTCTACACCCACCTGCCTGCACAGACCCGGAGAACAGAAACCCCTAACACCTCTCCCTTCACCTTTCACCCCCTGACCCCCCAGACCTCAATAAACCAGCTTCTTTAACCTCTTCAAAGGTATCTTGAAGGAAGAAAAGGTTCCATTCCTTTCCCCATGAGTGTTGTGGAAAACAGTATTTTCCACTGTGGCCCCAGTTTGGCAGGAGTGAAGGAGAGTGTTTAGCCCTGATAGCCCATGGCTGCTGCTAGCACGCCAATGTTTGCTCCTCAGTGCCCCAGGCTTCTCAGCACGTCCCTCTGCAGAGCTCCGTGTTATGGGTTTTCTGATTGGCTGTTAGTCCTGGCAGGCATTTTCTGATTGTCTAGGGGGCTTGTCGGTGGTTATCTCCCGCCTCCCGATGCACTGAGAGTCTAGGCTGGCCGATTGCGTGCCAATCCAGCGTTAAACAGCAGCTGAAGTGTGATGGGTTGCTGCCCCGCTGCGCGAGCACCTGCACCCACCCACTCCCAACAGCCCAGCTCCAGTGCCACAATTAGCAGCAGCAAATAGCTTTGGGAGGCGGGGGGCGGACCAAGGAAGTGTCTTAGATGTGCTCTGAGCTGAAGCAGGAGTAAAGAGAAGCTGGAGTCAGCATCTGACTGGAAGAGCCTCCCAAACAAACCCAGACACATTGGTTTGGTGGTGGTTGTGTGCCCTGGAGTCGGTTCCGATTCATAGCGACCCTGAACAGCGTTTCTGAGGCTGTAAATCTTTATGGGAGCAGAACACCTGCCTCATCATTCTCCCGCCGAACAGCTGGTAGTTTCGAATTGTTGACCTTGCGGTTCACAGCCCGATTCATAACCACTAAGCTACCAGAGCTCCTTAGTCTGACTCATATAGTGGGGGTATATATAAAAGGGGAGCAGAAAAACCTCATCTTTCTCCCACGGAACGGCTGGTCGTTTTGAACTGCTTACCTTGTGGTTAGCAGCCCAACTCTTAACCACGCTACCAGAGCTTCTTGGCTTAGCCTTTGTTAATTCACTTAACACTAGCTAAGAGTTCTCTCTATACACCCATTCTTGCTGAGGAAGATGAAGATAGTACAGAGTCATCTTACCTCTGCCTTAGGTTGTTGAGACACTCCTGGGAGCATCTTCATTCTTCTACAAAACAATCTATGAAAGATTAACTTTGGGAAGTTGAGCCACCTAGAGAAAGGGAATGGCCCTAAGGGCCACAAGGACTGGGACTGGGTCCCCTGGGAAGAGGTACAGTCTGAAGACAGGTTCCTGAGGAGCCTGAAGCTGGGCCCCAGAGAAAGCACCATGGTTCCAAAACAGCTTGTTTTCTTCAGTTACTGAGCCAAAAACTGGAGAGCATATATTTCAAAATGTTGGGGAAATATCTAAATTCATGGGGATTTCTCCTTCTGGGGAACACAGATTTGGAGTGCCAGAGAAGGCATATTGGAGGGAGGAGGAAGGAACAGCCAAACCAAAGACCTGGGGGTGGGGCTGGAGCTGGTTGAGATGGAGGTGGGGTATAGAGGATGGTTTGGGAAGTGTTGGACATAGGGACTGTGATAACCTAGGGGGAGAGGGATGGAATCTGAAGGTAGGAGGAGAGGGTGTCAGGTATTTCTTGGAAGACAATGACCAAAGGTGGTCCTTGAGGGGGGAGGGGGGCGCAGCACATGCAAAGGCGAAGGCACGATTTGAACCCAGACACTCTACTTCCAGACCCTGCACTATTTATTATGCCTTGTTTGAATGGGCCAATGATTTAACAGATGAACAAACGACTAAGTGGATGATTCATCTGAAAATCCTGCAGACAAAATAAACCCCAAATCTGCCTAATTTCCCTGTATCTTCTGTCACCTCATCTGGTCCACCATCTTTGCTTGCTATGACCCACAAGACTACACCTACTCTGCCCCCCTGCTAACAACCTCTCTGGCTTCATCTCTTGTCACAATCAATTTGTTCCAGTCACATGGCACTAACTGTTCGCTCTTCCTAGCACAACTGTATGAGTCATAAAGTAAATAGGAACTTTTAGAAATAAATTTAAACTCTCAATTTCTCTCATCTGTAAAATGGAAATTAAAGAACCTACTCCACAGGATTGTTGTGAGGGTTGAGTAAGGCTAAGGCAAGGCATGTAAACAGCTCAGCTCAGTGTTGGGTACAATCGTTTAATAAAGGGTTATTTTTAACGGATTTGTGTTCTCATTGTAGCTAGGGTCTTGTAGTAGTTGACAGTGTGGTTTAACTCACATCTGCCCTTTTGGCAAATACTATTTGGTGATGCTGAGGGTCAGTGGTTCATACCCACCATCTGCTAAGAGGGAGAAGGATGGGGTAGATTGCTCCTGTAAAGATTTAGTCTCAGAAACACTGTAGAGGATTGCTATGAGTCAGAATCAACTCTACAGTGGGTTTGGGTTTTGGAAAGCAACTTCATGACCAATCTGCCAAATGCATGTTGTAGGCTTGGTCTGCCTCAGTGAGACATTCTTGGTTGCAGGGGGAAGCAGCCGTGGGCATCAACAGCACTGGGCAGTTAGTTTGGCTAGTTCCAAGAGAGAAAGATGGGGACATATGGTCCAAATGTGCGTGGAAAGAGGGGGAGAGTGACACGCATCAGGACATGCTGCAGAGAATAGATCTGTGTTGTAGATGTAGATGTGACCATGACTTCTTCTGTGGCTGTGTTTTATCTGGGTTTGCAAGCACATCTGCGTTTCCCAGTGTCTGTGTGATGCCTCTGTGTTGTGCGTGTTCGTGCACGTGTGTATACATGCATGCCACATGTGTGTTACTCTGGGTGTGCGTGTCTGTGCATATACCTGTATCTCTGTGTTTTCTGTGCATGCCCCTGTATGTTTCCTTACATGTGTGTGGGTGTATGTACTTTTACGTGTGTGTTATTCCCCGTGTGCCTCCAGAGTCCCCTCCATCCATGGCAAGGGTGTGTACCCCGCCCAAGTGTCCACCTCCGCATGTCTGATGCTGTCTATGCCTCCCCTGCGCCTTTCTCTTTGCCTGGCTGAGCCTGTGAAGACGCGGGAGACTAATCCCGCGGGGCACTATGTATGTAAACCCACATATCATCTTGAGGAGGTTATTTCTCCACTTTTGCGTCTTAGATGTGCCTTCCACTCCCTCCCCCAAATGCTTCCTGCAGTGAATACCAACACTAGAAAGCGAGTATCTGCAGAGGGTTCTGCGTGACCAAGTTAGTGAGGACCAAAATGAGGCGGGGTGGGGGATCCGCCTGACTACCGGCAACGACCCTCTGTGATAAAACACCCACCCTGCCCCCACTCCTCAAATTGCGCATCCACAATCCGGGCGGGGGGGGGGGGGGAGGGAAACAGGATGCGGTGCCACGCGTGCGCATTGTCGCCTTCAGCACCGCGGACAGCGCCTTCGCCCCCGCCTGTCTGTGCGCTCCACCACGGCCCCAGCTTTGAAGGCGCACTGACGTCACTTACCATTTCTCCGCAAACTCCCCTTCTTGGCCGCCTTGGTCGCGTCCGAGCCGCCACCGACCCAGCAGGATTGCACCACGCGGCACTCGAGATAGGGAGGGACGGGCGCGACCAACCGCGCTGCGGCGGCGGCGACTCAGCGCTGCCTCAGTCTGCAGCAGGCAGCGGAGGAGTCGCATCGTGCCTGAGAGCGCAGCTGTGCTCCTGGGCCCCGCGCGGTCCGCCCCCGCGGCTCCTGGTCAGACTGCCCCCAGGACCCCCTGCCCAGCGCTGCAGCCATGAACTACCTGCGGCGCCGTCTGTCGGACAGCAACTTCATGGCCAATCTGCCAAATGGGTACATGACAGACCTGCAGCGCCCACAGCCGCCCCCGCCGCCGCCCGCTGCCCCCAGTCCCGGGGTCACGCCCGGTCCCGCGACCGCCACGGCTGAGAGGGCTTCCTCGGCCGCCCCTGTGGCTTCTCCAGCCGCCCCTAGCCCGGGGTCCTCAGGAGGCGGTGGCTTCTTCTCGTCGCTGTCCAACGCGGTCAAGCAGACCACGGCAGCCGCGGCCGCCACCTTCAGCGAGCAGGTGGGCGGTGGCTCTGGGAGCGCAGGCCGCGGGGGCGCCGCCGCCAGGGTGCTGCTGGTCATCGATGAGCCGCACACCGACTGGTAAGCCACTGCCGCGGATGTCTCCCCGCGGACGTGGGTCCCCAGATCGCCCCTCATCCAGCAATTGTCAAGCACCGCTTGTGTGCCCGGCTCCTGGCCCCCTTCCCCAAAGCCCCCTTCCCCCAAATATTACACGGGGCTCTTCCTGTGTGCCCCACCCTAGCCCCTCCCAAAGGTCTTCTTGATGGATACAGGCAGCAGTTATCCAGCGCTTGCTGTGTACCTCTTCGCTGATCTGTCTCCCCAATACCCCTCCCCAAAAGCTTTTGGCTTCAGTACATCCTGTGAGCATTTGAGAGCTTAATTGGTGTGCCCTCACACACACACACACACACACACACACACACACACACACACACACACCCTTGCCCCAGAGTCCTTGTCATCTAATAGATCTTGTGAGCATTTGAGTGCCTGAAGTGTGTTTCATCAAAGGAACCCCTTTGATTCATTAATTTTTTTTTTTAAAGTATATATTGAGAGCCTGATTATGTGCCCAGCCTCCCACAACCCTTGCCCTGTATCCAGTCTGTGCAATGTGGCTCACTTCCAAACCCATCCTCAAAGACCTTTTAAACTCTTCATTGAACACTGATTGAGTGACTGCTATGTATCTATTTCCAGAGTCTCACTAAAAGCTTTACCTTTAATGGATCCTGTGCCCCAACTCTACACTCCCTTTCCAAAGGCCCTTTCCTCCAACAGATCTAGAAAGATCTATGCCCCATCTCCAAGCCCATTTCCCAAATGAATCTTTTTCCTCCAATGAGTTCCATGAACAATTTTGAATCTTCTGTGTGTAACTTGAAAAGACCTTTGCCTACAGTGGATCTAGAAGGCATTTGCGAGTACCGAGTATCCTCTTTATCCCCTGTTCTCTAGCTCCTTCTTCAAAGACCTTTTCTCCA